TAGGAAATCAATACAACAAAGCCCTTGTAGGTAACCAATAATAAAGATCACGCGAACTGACTAATTTCATATAATGCTGTAGAAAGACGATGTCATTTATGGATGTTACTAGATATGCTATTTTTCTTTAAAAGAAGTTGCCTTATAACTAGAATATCCATCAGGTATTAGTAATTAAAGTTACTTATCTCTTTACATTTAATTTAAAGTAAACCAACTTGAATAGGGATATGGTTATGTCAGATATCAAGTTATTTGTAATGAAAGTGTTCGTATATAAATTTCAACAAAGACATTTCATATCATTTCACTTATAAATTGATTCAAGTTAACACTTCATATTAGCCAGCCTCAACATTAACGATTTGGTTTTATATAGCAAATAACAATTCTTGATTCACGTATTACAATTTTAAATGGCGTACACTGTGCTTTAAATCTGGCCAATTTTATGGATTGATTTGGATATGAGATAATTGTAGGACCTGATGAGAAATTCATTGAAAAGAATGTTCTTTGTCCATATTAAATGTGTTTTAATATAATGACAGTTTTCCAGCGATAATGAATATACTACGAAATATAAATTAATTCAAAAATAATATGTGCAGGTATTACAGAGCGAACAGTGTCTTTTTATTTGTTTTACTTAATTTCATATGCTGATGGTCTAAAGATGTTTGTGGTAAATATTATCTATTTAAAGTCCTTAATGAGATAAATATATGATGATATGCATGATTCTAAAGGTAAATTGTCTATAAGCATTCGCTTTTAAATTGAATTCTTCAGCCCTGAATATGCTCAACCAGGAGATCCTGATGCTCAGTTTTTGTATCATCTTCCAGAACACAATTATCAAGCTTTTTCAGCATCAAGACATTCGTTAGGCGACCCATTGTCACGACCTACCAATCTCGAGGTTGATGGAAATGAAAGTGAAGATCAATGGTCTCCTAGTGAATCTGAAAGTAAATATTTATATTCTTACTAAGTCTTTCTCATCACGTGAATCACTATATCAACATTCGAAGATAGATAATGACCGAAACTATTTTTCATTGATCTCAGTTATACAGAAATTCGAAAGCATAATTTTTAAATTCGGGAAATTCGACCGTATTTTTGTTAAAATACACCACCCAGATTTATCATATTATTCAGTTAGGAGGTTTAAATCGTAACATTTTCTTCCATACGAGCAGTTTTAATAAGCTTGAATTGAATACCCTATTCAAAGATTTATCCCGAGAATTCATAACAAAAGACAATGGACTCTTAGTGGCCTATCTATCGAAGGAGTATTAGTTTGCAATGATATTTTTTCTTCTCTATTATTACAGTTTCTAAAGGCATCCTCATCAGGATTCTTGATTATGCCTACATATACTGGAAGATATCAAGTTTATATATCGTGATGTTTGTTTTTAATGGAATGATCCCGTTTCCATCAAATTTAATCTTTTTACAATATTGGGTTGTGGAGATTGTTTAGTTTTAATTCAGATCATGAATCGATCAATGTTAGACCACCAATGAAAACCTGGAAGCATTGAACGGCTTTTTTATCCTAGTATGGGACTCCTCAGCAGTGCACATTCCCGATTCCGCACGCGGATATCTAACACAGGATCTCTAATCACGCGCGAATGCCTGACATACAGACCACTGAGCCAGCATTTAACGGCGTCAATGTCTAACTTCAAACAAACTAAATAGTGCTCGTCAATCTTCCATTGTATCACATCCAACATGGTCGGACTCCACTGGTCACGGCTTCTTATGAACTAATCAATATAGACAACCATTGAAAACCTGGAAGCGATGACGGGTGTTATGCAATTATCCACCAATGACAATGTAAGATGGTCGCGCAAAATCGTAGGTTGATCGAAGTTAGACATTAACACAGTTAGGTGCCGGCTCAATGACCTAGAGGTCAAGCGTTTGTGGGCAACTACTAAGAAACACTTTGATTGTGTAGTCTTCTAGATACCTAATAATCTGAAAAGTTTTCTCTCTTAAACTAATTCCATCAACAATTAAAAAGAAGACGAAAATTGTTCATGTGAAGAAGGAAAATGTAAATATCTGGCCAAAACACACACCAGGTAGTTCAATCGACCTATGTTTAAGGAAAACACGTAAAATATAATCAGACATTGCGTGATATGAAATGATTTTTTCCCCTAAAAGTTAAAAAGTCCATAAATGTGACATATTTTCAAAGGTAGATTACAAACATATACATATATATGTTGAAAAAACTCTATGGCTTAATTAAGGCTGAGATATAAACTGTACATCTTATGAAAAAAAATCAAGAGTACTTATAAGGAGGATTGCATGTTATTACTAGAAAATAACTATTTATCAAAACGTTTTTTATGTAAATGAATTAGTTTTCTGGAATATACTTGTCACTCTTGAAAAGATTTGGTTAGTCATCCTTTTTTAAAAGTTTCTAGATTGAATTATCCACAAGATATTGTCTAATCTCAAAATATTTATCTAATTTTTAGCAGTCCGAAATCGTGGATTACGAAATCGAGAAATTGATAATTTTGAATCAGAATTTGAAAGATCCCCTGGACCAAGTGATAGTGAAATAGGTCAAGAAAGTTATAATAGATCACGAAATATCCCTCAAGTACCAAAACGTCGTATACGACCATCATCTTCACGAAATCGCAATACAATTAGTAACAATAGTAATTCTTCCATTCACTCTTACAATGCAGAAGATCCTACAATAATCTAACAGTTGATCTTAGTACCTTTTATCTTTTAACTTTTTTTAATAAAGAATTCAATATGTTCAGTACTGTAAACCAGATAAAGATCTGGATTAATGAATAAAACAAAATGTTGTTTTCAAAAGATATTCGTTGAAATAATCTAATGTATTTTGTTTTTATAATTTTATGGGTTGTAGTGAATTTGAGATTCTCCATACATTTATCATTCAACATAAGTTGAATGATAGAAAGTTGACAGAAAAACCATTTATCTTTGACTAATTGTCTCAAAATATTCTAATCATAGTGCTTTATTCATTATTAACAAAATCACATGAAATGTGAAAATGATATTATTCGATGAAATGTAATTATTTGTACACATGTTATCTCATTTTATAGAAATTCTATGTTTGTATTTTACTGAATACGTAATTCGGTTGAAATGTAGTCAAAATAGTCTTTTTATCAATATCCTTCAAATTATTAATTTTAGTCTTTTAGAACTTAACTTCATTGATCATATACTTTAAGTAAGTCAAAAGGAACTCCATCTGGAGCCCCTCTAGGGCTACTGCCAGTTCCAAGTCCGAATAAACGAGGAGTGTCGGGCATGAGGTTAGCGACCCGTTCTCGTAAAAAACTAACTCGCTACATATATGCTAACCAGAAACATAAATAAATCACATTGAACAATAACTTTTCAGTTCTTAGAACTCACTAAAACAAATGTTAAAACCTGTAAACTGGCTGAAGTTATGAACTGATTGTATCATGGTCAATATTTTTATTTGACAGGATTGATAAATTATTTGAAAATAATTCAAGGATATTTAGTAGTCTGTTTAGACTTTTTCAACTTGCTTTAATTAATTAAGAAATAATCATACTATCAAACGCTAATTACTTATTTAACTTAAAGTTGTAGGTTATAATTTCATTTCACAATCAGTGTATTATTTTATTTAATATTAATTACATAGAGATGGCATTCAAACTAATTTAACAAATTCTACTCGACCTTTTCATATTACAAATGTCTTTTTTTCACACCAACAATTACATAAGCGTGTCACATAAAATTACATTGACCGAAGTGACATGACATTGGCTTGGTCAGACCTGCTTTTTTAATGATAGTGTTCATTATTTTTACTTTATACTATTGTACTAATTAAACTTGAGTAATTCAATTCATCTACTGATTCATTCTCTAAAGAAGTGAGTTCCATGAAGTTACGGAATGTCATGAAAACAATCTAAATTATCTTAGCTTGACAAAACGTCTGCATTATCATCATAAATAGATTACTTGTGAATTTTATCCTATTCTTTAGATGTCCTATAAACATAATATTATGCTTAAATTTAAAAAAAGTCACGTTAACTATGAAGCAGAGAGATTGGTGAAAATTTATAATCTGTCCTATTTGGGATCATTTTTAATAATCTCAATCTCAATGCATATTTATAATTATCAGAATGGGTTTTGTGAAGATTTAAAAAATTTCACTGGTTGAAATCATGAGTCAACTGAAGCTAGACCATCATGGAAAGCGTGAAAGCACTGGACGGCCGTTTCGTCCTAGCATGGGACTCTTCAGCAGTGCGTATCCACGATCCTGCATCCCGCGAGATTTGAACCCAGGACCTATCAGTCTCGCTCCAGTCGCTTAATCAACTAGACCGCTGAGCCAGCATTCAGCGGTGTTAATGTCTAACTTCAACTAATCCACGAAGTTGCGCCACCGTACACCATTGTTTTCAGTGAGTTCCTATCTCACAACAAACCTGGTTGAACTCCACCGGTAACGACTTCTCACTAGAACTCCAGGAGTGTCTCCTGAAGTCAGTCACTAGTGAGCAGGTGATTATTATTATCAGAATGGGTTTTGTGGAGAATTTTAGAAATTTCGCTGGTTAAATTCATGAGTCAATTAACTCATGATTTCAACCAGTGACATATTTATAAGCTAAAAACAATTACGACATTTCTTACTTACAAACTAACTGATTATAAATAATTATCAATTTTTTACCTTATTCACATGTGACTAATAATCAATATCACAACATAATTCATTTAAATGATGAAATTAAATGACCAGAATAATGAAATAAATGAAAGAACTTAATACTTTATTCAAGAAAGTCATTTTTTTAATTAGACTTCTTGAAGTATTTCAATAATAAATAATGTGGAAGTTACATTCATCAATACTTAGTATATCTATAACCCTTTTAATTTTTATTCATAACATTATGATGTTGTTTAATTTAATGTCATATCTTCCAATCAATCTAATCACAAAAGAATTGGATATAGAATTGAATATGGTACATCGTTTAAATAGTCATTTATTTACAAAGATTATTTTATTACTATGTGGTTCATTGTTATATACATTTTATTGGATAATTAAATTGAACTGCAATAATTTGAATTATTCACAACAAATAATAAATAATTATTTATTATCTTTATGGAATTTATTTATCTTACCTTATAAATTATTCTCATTAATGCTTAGTATTTATATTATGCTAATTCTAATAGATGATATAAGTTTATTAAAAGAAGATATTTCAAATTATATGTATAGGATATTTGATGAACTTGGTTCGACCGAATTTTCAGGTAGGCAATTTAAAATTAATGATAATAGATTATTTTTTTTTTGGTTAATTCTATCATAAGTAAAGGAAGATCAATAAAGGTTGACCAATAGATAATCATTTAAAATACATAATTATAAGAAAACTGTCAGTTACTTATATGTAGTGTAAAATCTAATACATATGAGTATCCGTTCAAGTTGCTAACAACAGTGATAAAATTACAAAGATAAACGACAGAATAGTAGAATTAATAAAAGTTTCTATGGCAGTAAGAAATATTAGATATGCAGAACATGATTTCAGAGAAGATTGATTCATGGAATCTAAAGTATGAGATAATTTATAAACTGATGGTCTAACAGAAAAACGGATGGATGTGATACATTGTAATCGATTCTGAGCCATGTCAACCGTCTCCAACCGCTGGTCGAGAAAATAATTATGATGTCACTATTTAGACGACTTGTTTGTTGATTGATATCAAATATTTGTCTAACTTCGTTTGGTCCCCTTTCAGCCTACTTCTTTAAGAGCCAACATCCTACGTTGAAAATGTTGGTTGCTGGACATTTGTAACATATGTTTAAAATATATAATCTAACGAAGAAAACAAAATGACAGTTGAATGCTCATAAGAATAGGTGGAAAACTTTGGTTTGTTTTGAATTTACTTTCAATCACTCACTAACTTAACACTACATTTTACTTCTGAACAAATCATTACAATTGATTGATCACTGGGTGGTGATCAATCGATTGTAATTATATCTCAGTCCTACAGGAGGTTAGTCACGGTTCGGATAGCTCAGTGGTAACGTCTCTGACTGTCAAGCTGGGTGGCACGAGATCGAATCCGCCAGGAAGCACCAGTTCCCTCAAGATTGCAGGTACACCTTGCTAACGAGTGCCAAGTAGCACGAAATCCGGGTCCAGGGTTTCCTATTGACTACCTCCAACCACCATCTGAACAAATCATTCAAAGTGACCGAAAGTAGAAATCAGTATATTGCGAATAGTAGTAGGAATTAAGTTTTGAAGACTAGTAAAAATCAACTGTGTGAAACTTGAAGATGAATTCATAGAAACGGTTAACATTCATTTGTATTTATTTTTAATTGAGATCATGAACCGACTGATGTTAGATCACCATTAAAAACTTGGAATCACTGGACGGCCGTTTCGTCCTATTGTGGGACTCATCAGCAGTGCGTATCCACGATCCTGCTCGCAGGATTCGAACCTAGCTCCTTCAGTCTTGCGCGCAAGCACTTAACCTACTGGACCACTGAGCCGGCATCCAATGGTTTTAATGTCGGTATGTTATTTGTATAATCTGAAAAAATTCATTAACTACAGGTCTAGTAATGTACCTTTACAACTACAACAAGCTGCTAATAACCTCAGTTCTGTGGTTTATTTAGTCGTCAGTAAACTTTTGATAAAATCACAAAGTTGACATTATTAAGCCTAAACTTAAGTTTCTAAATTAATGAACATATATTTGAATACTCATTAGTTAAGATTGTAATGTTGTTTCGTGCTTATATTTGACTACCTCCGTCTTTTGCATTTAATGATGGATGAAGAGAAAAAAGAACATCGAGGGCCTCTCAAGAAACAGAAAAAGAACCTGTTTGTGAAGCTACTGAATACGAATCTCATTTCAGGTATCAGTTGTGAGATTTTAGGTTAAGATTGACAGTTTGTAAACATTGGCATCACTATGTTATCATCACAGAGGTCGGGTATGGAGAAAGATTGATGATATCCTTCCACTCATTTTTACGTTAAGAACTCATTAAATATCATATGTTTCGTACCTGATAATGATTAACGTATTTCACGTGTTTTCAACTTTCATACTGATTTGCTTTTGTACCTTAAGAAAATATACGTAGTAGTTCAGCTAAGAGATCTCTTATCGCTGATTTCATTTCCAAAAGCTGTCTAATTTTATGGTGAAAATGTATTATATGTTCACGCTCAATAATATGCTATCAGACATGTGTTCAGATACGAGTATAGTCAGATTCGAAATTCAAGAAGGAGGTGGAGTTTTCTGTGGAACCCTTGGAACGATACCCTACATTTATGATCTATTTATATTTATCGTTTGGTTAAAGATATCTCGCCTTATTCTTAAAATCATTGCTTGCTAAAAACAATCAGTTATGCAGGAATAATACAAGCTGAAGTTCATCGTTATCTGTTTGCTAAACTGAGGCCAACTGGTGAATTAGGGTGTCTTTAAGTTAAGCTAAGTCTACCGACGTGGGTATTAAAATAACTTTCCATCACTAAGACGGCTGAGCGCCGCTCCAGTGATTTCACACTTGGAGTTCAAAATGGAAGTCTTAGGTTTAATCACTTGCTAGGTAGCTTGAAATCGTGTCATGGCATCTATACTAAGATTTCTCGTTTATATCTATTTTCCAGTAAGACTGATTAGACGATATTTCAACAGAACAATCTCCTTAGTGCTTTATAGATGTGATATTTTGAGAAAAATGTCTAGAGCGATTTAGTTCATGATATACATAACCACAAACACAAATTCAAATGTTTGTAGATATGTCAAATAATATAATAAAATTAATGATAGTTTCGAGAAGGTATTAAAATAGTCATTTCAATGATGACAATATTTATGTTTATAATATTTGATCAACGTGGTATGAAAAATCTAAAAAAAGATTTAATGCATCTATAGCTAGGATGATGATACGGTCATGAATTATATGATCGCTTCACTACTATTTTACACTTCCTAATAATGTTATCTTCTTGTCTGCCCTACAATCAAAATATGTACAGGCCATAGTGGTGGAATACGTCATTAATTCTAGATTATTCCGGACTTACATAAATTATACTTGCATTATTGTGGTTAAGTACTTGAAACCATTTTAAAAGTAGACTGCATTTGTAAAGCATCTTATTTGTAAAAGATTTAGAGCACATGAATGAAATTGATTTGGTATTGTTATTCATTTGAGAAACAAACGGGAGAGTATCATCAATGAATGATTAGAATTCCGCAAGTCTATTTGACGAGAATTTCTACAATATTTAGGACTGAAATGACATTTACTTAAAACTTATGTACAGAAGTTTTTATTCTGGCTGATAATTACAAATCTAGTATTCATAAAAATGTTAATCAGACTTCATATGTATTATTGGGCAAGTAGTAGTTGCTAAACTTGAAATCACTATCTTTGAAGACGAACACTATTTGATTTCATTTGATCAGTCAAATCGATTATTAAAAATGAAAGAATAGAGATATGCTGAGTAAAAAATGCATTATTAACTTTCTTATTACACTATTCGATGTTTCACAGTGTGAAGGGGAAGCTGTTTTGATCACCTTAAATACCTAACAAAGTTTGAAAACTATTATGAATACCCTAATTTTATCAAAAATAAAACTATATATTTTACGTTTTGCTTTCTTTTTCTGTTAAAGAATAAGGAGTATCTTAAGCTTGTTCGTCATGAAATGTTCTTTATAACGACTGTGAATTGACATTTTAGTAAATATTTGATGGCAGAATTAGCCATCTTGTTATTTATCCATATGGTTATAAGTATTTGTAACTTTCGACTTTCAAACTAGATTCTCAATAAATGCTACTCTCTTCAGTTTGGATAGTCAAATTTTATCATTAGCTTTCATAGTGTTAGTGTAGTTAAACGCTAATGAAATAAATTTTTGTTTGTTTAATTTGCAGCATTAAAAACCAAATTTTTCCATAATTGTAGTCGGATGTTGTCTGTCCTGTAATATTGATTGAATTCTATCAATCAAGTTCAATTGTCAACACCAATCTAAGCGGGTTAACTTCGCGCGTACCATGTTGAGATGTAAGGTGGTGATTGGAGGTACCTGACAGGAGATGGTGTACCTAGATTTTCAGCTATTTGGAGCTCGTCAGCAAGGTATTCTTATGATCTTGAGGGGACTGATGTTTCCTGGAGAACTCAATCACATTTTTCTTTAAATTAAGTGGAAAAATTATTGAAGTTCAATCTCCTGAACAGAAGAGTGGTGATTTCTATAAAATAAACCATAATTACATCGATGTGAACACTGTTTAAGATTTACATAAAATAACTAATTAGAAATGTTGTAAAAGAGTAAATTTCTGGGAAGTGTTGTCTTTGAAGTTATTTTATGAACCATTATCATAATATATACTTAGTGTACAGTTATTAAATAGGTGGACAACTCTATTTCTGTATAGGTCGTAATGTAATATTCTTTTAAATCCATTAATTATTACGTTCCTTAGTTATTACAATGTTTTATGGCATAGGAGTAGGTTGGGAGAAAGCAAAAGGCGCCAGACCAAAACATGGCACAAATCCATGAAGTCACTGACAAGTGGACTGAGCTGTGTTGGTAGGTGTAGACTACCTGGTTGAGATCCGCGAGACAGTAGCAACTGATGGTTAGAGACCCTGTATGACATGGCTCGAAATCGTTTGCAATGGCACAAGTGCATCCACTCTTCGTGTTCTCCCAAATTCTAATCTTCTGAATTCTTCATGTCCCTTTTTTCCTCTTTCCAAATTTATTTCACTGGATTATACTCCTTGAATAACATGTTCAAACCCTGATCTTTCCAATGACAGCTTATGCTTTTACTACCTCCACCACTACGAGATTTAAATCGACAACTGTATCTCTGTGCTAATGTGGTATGGCAACTCGAACTGATGTACGTACGTACGAAGTTCTACGTTGTTACTGAATGACTGACTTAATCATTCACCAATTATTTCGATCTCTACCCCTTATGCTTTGAGTATCTATAAAATATGTCTTCTTATGTGAGGTATGTTTTGATCTAATAGTTCATGTATGTTTCTATTGAAAATGTGAAACATTTTCTGATATTTGTTTATGTGCTACATTTTATGTAAAAAATTGTATCCAAAATATTCATAGTGATTTAATGTTTTCTCCTTTTTGTAAAAAAATCAGTTAATCGAACAAATCAACTTATCAATCACTTAGAAAGGTTACAATATGATTTTACTTGTCGTGGTATTGAATCTCAAATTTACTGGTTATTAAACAAATATTCACTCTCAGTTAATTATTTGAAAAGCTTTCATTCTCCTAATCATATTGTTATAGAATTATCGTCTGACCTATGGAATTTTATCAAACAAACAGAATTCTTACTGATCAATAGCTGTGGTCAAAATAGTACAAGTCAATGTTTAATGCAAACACTATACCCACATAATGATTGGAACAATGATAAAATCACTTTTATTATACCTGTTAACCAGAGTGATTGTACAACATCTATTACTTTACAATTGGCCAGTGAGTTGAATTCTATAGTGTGGATGTACTCAAGCTTAAATATTGGTTTACACATAATTCAGTTACTTCTGGACATAAATATGAATGTAAATGTTTTACCGAACATTTCATGCAAAAAGTGCTCCTTAACACTGCCAAAGTTTATTCGAATTCTAGGACCTTGTTCAAAAGCTTTTATACAAAACAATACTGGATTTTTGATCGACGAAACAAGGAAAAATGCAAATTTGAATGGTTCTCGTACTCACACTCAAGATTCCATATCACCTGAAAATGAGAAAGTATCGGACAAAACGTTAGTTCATCCTTCAGATTTCATTGAAGGGTGTAAAGATACTCAGATGCTTGAAAACGAGTCTAAAAAGAATGTAGACAGTTTAAAGATAAGATCACATAAACACACTAACGGTTTAGGAAGACATTTTAATATCAGAACTACATTACAACCTTACGACACTAAAGTATCTTGTTGCTGTGTTAGAAAATCATTCCTCTTTGCACCAGCTGGTTATGTGTCTAATTTAAAATTACTAAAAGCATATCAAAACTTTCATCTATATACTAGGTCAAGTGGAAAGGAGCTTGATAATTTACTTGACAAAGTTGATTATAATGAAAATACGAATATTGGCTGGAAATTAAAAGATTTACCAAAACAACAATCATATGTTAATTATGTACCTATACCGAATTTAAAAAAGAAAAGGCTAAACAAATGTAATAAGTTCCGATATTGGTTGAAAAAAAGATGGCCGTTTGTGGAAGCTTTAATGTACGATGATAATGACAAGGATGATAAGAGGGTCAATCACATGCATAAAATTTATTTAATATTTATTTTACGATATGTCTTTTTTTTAAGTTTTGGCTACATATTAAGTAGAATGATAATTTTAATTATTACAAACATTTTCTCTACCAATGTTATGGTAGACGTTGAGTATTTAACTGTTGAAAACTATACAGAAGATTCTTGGATCAACACAAAGCATATCAATGAAGCCTATGAAATTGTACAAGAGGTTGAGAAACAAACAGATACGTTTATCATCATAACAGTTGTTATAAGTACTTTAATTTCGTCACGTGTACGTTGTTTATTATTATTAGTTATACCGACATTTGGATTAACAGTTGGTCATATACTCTTTGCAAATCAATTGATACACACGTCATTTATTGGACCAATGACATCAATCGAATACAACTTGAATACACTGAGAAATGTTTTCAGTTGTTTAAACGAACAGACGCATAATGTTTCAAGGGTTTCTGACAGGTTAAATTATACCGATTATACGTATTATGACGTGGGAAATTCATCAACTGACTTGATTCTGTCTTATGGCACACCAAGTTATTTACCTATTTCTTTAAAAATGTTGCGAATAATGAATGAAGCCGGTAGAGATTTGAGCGAAGCAATTGCCGAGTATCAATACAATTTACCTTCGTTGGATAAATTGGTAAGTAAAACAAAAAGAGAACCTCTTTTTAATTAATACGTTATTGACCGGTCAAAACGAAAAAAGAAAGAAATTGTCATTGATTGAAAGTATTCTTTATTCTAAACATGTTGATTTAAAGAATCTAATATATGAGAAAATGAAGATGGACTATATCCAGCTTTATTAAGAAGATATATGAAGCGTTAACTTTATTGTGGTTATGGAAATTTATTTATGCTTAATCCTTCTCTAAATTTTTGACACATGATTCTTCTTTATTTGTTGTGATTTGTTCACTCATATGGTTCCTTTTTAATACTTTTATTATAGTTTCGCCGTTGTTTTCATGGTTCCATGCAATTGTAATGAATTTCAACTTAAAATGTTTGAGTATTTTAACAGGGAATTTTAGGCTCAGTATTAAGTGGTGTTCTCGTTTATTATAAGTATAACTTTACTTTAGGAAATTGTTGGTTTATTGTCGAGTGACATATGTGAATATTATTTTTCTTGTTACTATTTTTAATGTTTGGATTCCAGATTTTTCTTAAAAGTAGGAGGACATTTTATCCATTTGTTGTAAAGTTTGAAGATGAATGTAGGTAGAGAAATGAGATTGACTGGATATAGTTATTTTAAATACCTAAAATGCAGATGTGCTCGTTTACAAATTTTCCCAGATTAGGATGATTTGATTTACTCATTTGTTTGGGTAAGGATATCAGGAATACTGAAAAGTCTTCTGTTCAATGATCTTTTGATGTTCATTTTAACCATGAGTGAACATGACTTATTTGTTATTAAATGCAGGAGATTTATCAAGTATATTTTGTTGTAGTTAAAGACCAAATTAACATTAATAATCACCCAAATCAACATTTAAAAACGTAAGAACAACCATTTGGATAGTATACAATGAATTCATTTTATTTGGTAATTTAGTGGTTGGAAGCAGTATACATTAAATCTTGAACCTAGGTTTCGTGCTATTTTGACACTCAACAGCAAAATGTACATTGAGTCTGTCAAAGAGCACCCATTCCCTCAAAACTACACATAAACCTCACCAACGTATTCCAAATGAGACAAAACATAGATTCTAGGTTTCCTGTTGACTACTCCAACCACCACCACACGTCTCAATATAGTGCACGTAATGTCGAATCACTTAGACCAGTGGCCATATTACAATTCGGCTGACTGGATTCGCTCAGCGTTAAGGATTTGATGCAATTGACATCGGTCACTATTCAGTGATCAATCAGTTGTAAATTCCTTTTTGTTTTATATTGATTCTTGTTCAGAGTTTGCAATCTATGTTAGTTCCATATAAAAAATTATATGTATGGCTTGACAAATTTACAAAAATGAAGGTTGACAGTAATTAGTATGAACATGTTTCAGCATAATGGATCAATAGTACAAATAAAGATAACTAGATTAAACGAGATGCTACGATCAAATATCATAAGATAAAGAATTTTTCAAAACACCGAAAAGAATCGTTATATAATTAAATAAATAAACGTAGATTAGTGATAAATAAGAATGAGTCAAAGATGATTATTAAAAAAAAGGAGATTTGAAAACGGTATAATTAAACAAAAGATTTAATGAAACTAGGATTTTATGACTAGATCAAGGAAAGATTTACAACGTTTTCTTTATGATCGTAATGAGATTTAAGTCTCAATAGCTACATTCTCAATCAAATCTGCAGTTATTTAGAAATCCCTTGATATATCCAATAAGTCAGTGAGAAGTCTGGAAGTTACCTTAACGAAAGATCTTTCTACCAATGAACGATGACTCTTTGGAACATGTTTATTGAACCACTTCTCTGTCCTGTCATTTTAGCAGCTATGGCACTTATGAGTAATTTTATACACGGATCTGGGAGTTACAAAAGAGTGGCAATGGTAACTCACTCACCTAAGATTAAGATATCAGGGTTTTCCATGGTGGTCTAGCTTCAATTGACTCATGATTTCAACTTGTGAAAATACTTGTTTTCGAATATTTTATTTTTTAAAGCTGTACAACCAAATTTTCAGTTTGAAAGGAAACTGTTTGTTAGTTTTACTAATGAAGATCTACTTTGTTATTCTAGCCATTATTGGAATGATTTTGTGTAATTAAATGTGATCAACTGTTAGGGTAAATAATTTCATTCGATAATGTTTTGATGAGAAAGTTGATGATGAGCAGAATAGTAATTGTTTCTGAACTTATTAACCTTTTTGTATTTTTGATTAAATTTAGTGTTCTTGAATAAGAGAATAATGGGGTCATATTAAATATGATTTTGTTAATAAGCAAAGTAAAACTTAAGATTATGTTGACTCAAGTTATCGAGTACGATAACGGGAGCAGGTTTAATTCACGTATTCTATCGTTGTATGGTAGCTTTAAGGCTTCTGTGATAGACTTTTCTATCACCTACTTTTGTCTACTAGACATGAACTAGCTGTTTATATGCAACATTATAGTTATAATACAACAAGTAATGCATACGCAAATGTCTTTTCACAAAAATGACCTAATGTTTTGCTCAGTGCCTTAAAGATCATGAAACCTATGAGATTTGATGCTTGACTGTATTCGGCGGATTTCAAGTTTTGAGAGATCATTGTTTCTCTAGACAAAGAGCAACATGACATTATTCAACCTGTATATTTATACTTAGGATGCCATAATTTTCATTTTCTCACCGTATCTTCAATCTTGTTATTTGTTCATTTTCAAGTCACGTATAATGTTGTCTTTTAAGATACATTACATTTGATATAATTGATCCAAGATCCACTAATTCTATTCATAACACTGCTATTATGGCTATGAAACTGATTTTTTCTCACATGTGTTTCACTAGAATTAAAACAATTTTGAATTTAAGATGTTTTCCATTTTGTGTTTACTCACAACAGAGCGTGGTTCTCTTTGCAGTTATGTGAAACTGGTTGTAAAATTATTAGTCACATAATTCCCCTCCTCAGCGTCACACGTTATTCATGAATATTTGTGATCACAAACATAAAATCTCTGATGTTATAAAATATGACGTAATTATTTACCAGACTCTTAAGTCTCTATCAAAACGTTTATTCTATAAATCTTTCTATTAGTAAGGGTAAGATTAGCAGGGTGAAATATCTCATAGAGAAATGTTTTTATCTCCTTGTTGTATAGCAATGTATTGTAAATGACTAGGCCAAGGAATGACCCGAAATGTATACCAGATTTTCGGCAACCAATATAAATTCAGTTCATCATTTGTTGTATCTACCTTCCAGAATTTGTTGTAATCTTGATTAAAAAATATCTCAGTATTTCTCTTGATAAAAACTGTGAAAATATAAGCGCTATATTACGCAAGTAGGCTAGACCCCGCTTGTATAAGTTCTGAGCATATCGTTTCTACAAAACTAGTAGCTGACACTTTGTAGACGCAGAAGGCATGTTACTAACGTCTGTTACTCCTCGTGAAGGATCATAGGCCGCTCACCAGCATTCTCCATCCAACCCTGTCCTGGGCAATCTTTTCTAGTCACTTCCAGTTTTTATCAATCCTTTTGTATTTGCTTTTATTCCCCGACGTAATGTGTTCTTTGACCTTCGTTTTTCCTGTTTCCCTTCAAGATTACAAATTAGAGCTTGTCTCATGGAGCAGTTTGATGATTTGCGTAATGTATGTCCTATCCATTTCTATCGTCTTTTCCTAATTTTCTCTTCAGCTGAAAGCTGGTTTGTTTTCTCCTACAGAAGGCTGTTGCTGATAGTATCCGGCCAATGGATGTTGGGTATCTTGCGAAGACAGCTATTTATAAATACTTGTACCTTCTTGATGGTGGTTGTTGTAGTTCTCTAAGTTTCAGCTCCCTACAATAAAACTGTCTTGATGTTCGTATTAAAGATTCTGACTTCGATATTGGTTAAAAGTTGTTTTGAATTCCATATGTTCTTTAATTGTAGGAATGCGGCCCTTGTCTTGCGATCCTTGCCTTTACGTCTGCATCTGAACCCTCTTGCTAATCGATAATACTTCCCAGGTATGTGAAGGATTCCACATCTTCCAGAGTTTCGCCATCAAGTGTGATTAAGTTATTGTTCTCGGTGGTGTATTTGAGGACCTTAGTTATTCCATTGTGTATGTTGAGGCCTACTGATGCAGAGACTGCTGCTACACTGGCTGTCTTTATCTACATTTGTTGGTGTGTATTCGATAGGAGGGTTAGGTGATCTGCGAATTCCAAATCGTCTAACTGATTTTGAGCTGTCCATTGTATTCCGTGTTTTCCCTCAGATGTCGAGGTCTTCATAATCCAGTCGACCACCAGAAGAAAGAGGAAGGGAGAGAGTAGACTTGGAATGCGTCTGTCAACTGCCCGTAGAAGGCAAACCAACTAACATTACCGTTGATTATTTATTGTTTACTTAATTCATCTTCATTAGTTAAAATATTTTTTCATTAAATATAAAGTACAGATGTATTATAACGAGTACGCAAACGAGACATAATGAAATCTGAATATGTTTGATTTTGAAATATATTGAAATGGTATGTTCATTAGAACATATCGCAAGTAGAAAGAACGATATTTATATAATAAGTTCATTCATTATTAAAAATTCTATTCCACTACAGAATTCTCAGCATTACTGGTATAATATCACTGCAAATATCTCTTTCATATACATTCAAATGGTAACAAATCTAAACATAGTTTGTACTTTTGAACTGTTAACAAATGGATCTCATCTTTCTTAATTTATTTTCTTGTTTACTTTGATTCTGTTTAGACTGATAATTATAGAAACTTAACAAATATGATTGATAAATCTTATTCAGAATTTAATTTAATTTCAAAACGTTTTCAAAATGAAGCTATAAAACTTTCATATGAAATGAAAAACAGATTTCAGAATAGAATTAAAGAATTTCAATTAAATGCCAACATTTATAAATCAAATATAGTTGCCATGAATCAGTTTAATATTGAAATGAATAATATTCAATTAGAATATGAAATGTACAATTATTTACTTCATAATTGTATAGTATTATATGAAAGAAAATTTTCTATTTGTTTAAATACATCACAAATGATTTGTAAGATATTGATAAAAAATCATACATTACATGGTATATGGCTTAATGATCTATGTGCTGATTATTATCAACCTGAAGAATTTTGTGAATTATTTAATTATATAAATGAATTAAAACAAAATTGTGTTTTGGATACAAAAACTATTGGATTAGAATTTGGATTTAGTAGTTATCTCACAGATTTATATAAATTACTGGAAATGTTAAAAAAATCATTCCAAATTGAAATATTAACAAATAACAATGAAATAAACAAAGAAACTATTCAATGGATAGAAATAGAAAAAGAAATTATTGATCAAATACAATATATTAATAAAACCATAACTCCTAAAGTTAATAATCTTTTAAACTCATTTATATTAGTAACTATATTGTTTAAATCAATTTTTATATTCCTTATTTATCAAGCGCATAAATATATTTCAAATTATTTATTAAATGTATATTCTAAACTAAGATATCAATTGATTATTATAAAACATTTAAATGTAAACAAAGAGATCGTATCACCTTTGAAATCTATTCAAAAGCTTTTAAATTATTTCAGTAATATATGGATTAATATAAAAAATTTATTTATAATTATAATCTTTGGATTCATATTGTTATGTGTATTTTATTTAGATTTACAAACATATAATTTAGTGAATTTATTAAATATACTACTATTAAATAATATAAAATTCAATTCTAATATAACGGACCAATTACATAGTGTTATCATATCTAATTATACAACCAAATTGATGAATGGTAATATTGAAAATAACTTTGTCAAAACAATTGAAAATGGTGTATTTAAGGTGATAATAAAAGAGATAATACAAAATATTGTACAGTCAAATTACAGGTTTTCAAATGATGATGATGATAATGACGATATTCATCAATGTCGGAGATATGGGCTTAAAACAGATTCAAAGTATAATAAACAATTTTACACTACATGGATAATATTTATGATGTTGACAGTCACATCAACTGGTTTATTATATATGCGTCATAGAATAGTAGACCTTTTTTACCCAGAGCATAAAAAATATCGCAAAATAGATTTATCCAGTTATTTATTAACGCAAAGTTGTAATTATCCAGTTGAACTATGTCAACAAACTTTTGATCATGAAGAAAGTGGTTGTTTACAAGATGAAATGGAAAATTTACCACAACTATCATTTCGACGTAGAATATGTTTAAAATTCCTATATCTATTTGGTTTTGATAATGGTATCTGTTCTATATGTTGTGGCCAGTTTCAACCATATCATAAAATAGTACATCCTAAAGACAATGTAACAGATTGTTAACACTGTTTACTGACAATTATGAATGAAGACAGCGAATAGGAAACTTATTTAGATAATAATTTAAAACAACTGTCTATTGAAGAAACAAACATTTATCAGTTGAATAAGAATTTAATCATAGCAACTAAAACTAATTGTTCCTGATGTATGATGATTTTTCTTATATTAGTCATGTGAAAATTAATAAAAATTAAGTAGTTCTAATAGCATACTTTACATGAAAATGGTACGTTATGTACGGATTTTTGTTGAACTATATTAACTATGTATTATCTATTAGAAATAATGAATAATACTTATTTTGAAAAAATAAATGCATAAAGTGTGCTAAAATAGTTTTTTTCCATACTTATCATGATAGATGTGATTAACAGTAGATAGAAGTTGACAACTTACTTCTTTCAAATACTTTTTAACACCAAACTAACGTTACCATTAGGAGAATTAGCTGTTAACTATTTTCAAATTATTATTTGTTTTAAGCAATTCTTATCTTTGTCACATACATCACACCAAAAAAAATTAGTCGGGAAGTAAATACATTACTAGAGGAATGAAGGTTAAAAGAGCTAAAAAATTTGTGAATTACTCATTGGTACCATAGAAATTATGATGTGTATGAGTGTAGACAAAAAGTTTCTAATAAATATCTAAGTGACTTGCAATGAAGTGTTCTTGTTTCATTTAAATATAATTTTATTGTTTATCATGATTACAGGGGCTTTCTTGGAGTAGTTGTGAGTTGTTTTAGAGTAACTGAGATATACACTTCTATTTATTATCGAACAAAATGTATGAAGGCTATCAGTGAAAATAATTATCTAAGTTGTCAAATGGAACTGATATAAACATAGAACATGCTACTATTCCAAAACCCTATCTGACAATTTGTAAAATATTCTGAGTTGGTTAACCATTACCTAATCATATTATCTGTTCACTGGCTTGTATACATTGGGGTATAGTGTAAGCAAAAGGCTCTTGAATAGTGATTCTCAGATTATTTATTTAAAAGGGACTTAATGCAATCTAATCAGCTGATGAGTAGGTATGTAGTGAACAAAAATTCAATTAAGGTAAACCAATTTATAGTTTCATGCAAAAGTACACAATGCCTTTCTAAGTTATGAAAGTCATACAGATCAATTATACGTGTTTCTCGAGTTGTTCTTTACAAATTCCATCATCCTTCTAAGTCTGTTGTTATTCCGATTGCTCTTCGTTATCCTTGCTGTTCTCTTATTTTCAATCTTCTACTCATATGAATTCCATTTCTTATTCTTGCGCCATACTACTGATATCTGTCCTCTTGAGAAGCGCACACTACAGTTATACATTTATGTATTGATGCTAACGCTTACCAGAAAAAATTGATGCTAACGACTGATCTTTTTCAGAATGCTCAAAGTGATAAAAATCTCTCAAATTAACAAAATACATATTCATCTTTTATATCTAGAAACATTTCTAGCTCTTTGAAAACTATCAATGATTTTAGCTAAGCAGATAATTTGATAGATATAACAGACATAGCCTGGAGCAAAATTATATAGCAACCAATGATTTCGAAAAGATGGAAAAAAACAAGTTTGATCTACTTTGTTTTTTTCTCTTATACATATGGCAAAATATCAGTTATTAAAATTACTGTAATTTACCGACGTTCAAAGGAATACAGTTCAGTAATACTTTAATCAATTAATTCAGTCAGAATTAATAATAGTCAGAAATTGAATAGTTTTTTAAAAATTTTTTTGTCATTTAAGAGTATTGCAAGCTGGTTTTATAAATTCCAGAAATTCAGATATCATTGTCATAGGTAACAAAACAAAAGATGGGAATTGTTCATTAAGTCAACTTGATACTTCAAATCATATAGAAAACTGGCTTGTTGCTTCGATGACACATATTAGTTGGAGGTAAGTTGATTTGGCCACATGATATGTTTATGAAAAGCCTGCACAGATGTAGTGGTATCTTCATTGTAATATAAACGAGGTTTGATAAAGGGTCAATTCAATAAAATCGGATATATTTTCACAAACATACATTGATATCCATTTAAATTATTAAACCGATGGAAAAGCCTACAATACTTCAGATAAATAGAAATCTTGCCTTCATCATTCTACAATTTAGAGATAAACAAGACAGTCTTCAATTGAAATTAAGATTTAATTACCTAACAGGAAATTGTATTATTCAGTCAGAATCATTATTAATGAAGGAACATTATCCATTTTCCACATAGATAGTATGTAAACGGTTGTGACACATCTCACCAATTTATGTGTATGTGTTCACGCATATATAGGGAATAGTAATGATGACCTGTATGTTAGGATGCTTGCACATGCATCTAACTCTTTGTAGAAATGAATGAGGTTTGATCTTAGCTTACTACTTGTGGTTTTTAGTGATAGTTGACTGAAGAGAATACCGAGATTTGTTGAAGGGTGAGCTATATAAAATTATAGTTCTCACACAATGTATATGTATGGATACAATTTGCACTTCAACTAAACCCATCTCAGTAATATTGAATTAGTATCCAGTGTGTTGTTTTAGAAGATAATTTGGTGATCATGGATTCACGAGATTCACATCATGTGAGTACTGTTCACTTTTATTCGTACAACATCATTGAAACTCGTTGTGTGAGAGGCATTTTTCTTCTTCTTGGTGATGAGATTGCAATAACCGATTCTACTGAGATTGATCTTTTCTGTCCAGCTTGTGTCGAACGAGTTCGTCATACTTCAAACATTTCCATGTTGTATGTTTTCATGTTCACAGTCACTTGGATAATCCTCTGGTTTCTCAAATAATGCGGATATTGCATGTACGTTGTTTATTGATGCTGTGTTTGTGAGAATGTACATCAGGTTGTTGATTTCGGAATAATCTCGGCTTCATTCATTATGCATCATAATTTTTTTAATCGAATACTGCGTGTTTGTATTGGGTGTATCAAAAAGATATTGCTTTTTGTTACGATTTTCGATTGTTATTTGTTTGATCTAGACTTCGTTTGAGCAATTATTATTGAACGGTTGAATATCAACTGAATGAATGCAGTTTGGACTGATATATTTGGAGACAAGATCCCTTGTAACCATGGTTAAATCATCACTAAGGATTTCTTTTTAAACATGTTTCACAAGGTTGAAAAAACTCGAAAATTAATAAAAGTTATCAGATAAACCTTCAATCATCATGACAGGGAAAGGATAGTCACACTTTCCTTCTGTAGAGTCAAGTCAAATAGGAAGCGTTTGATAGCGATTACTTCAGAAAAACAGGATAAGATTAGTGTTTCTTGTCTGTTAATTATTTTGAATGCATTACTTACATTCACTTCATGTCCACCATTCCAATTGTATCTGGTAATTTGACATGTGAAAACCTTATTCCCTTTCAGACGTAGTTAGATGAAACACCATATTTTATTATAAATTTAGATTAACGTAATAAACACAACTCGAAGAAGTAAATATTTTTCCAACAACATCCATTACAAAATCCATACTATGATGTTGATAGTAATTTAATTGATAAACTAACTGACGTCTAAAGTGTCGCAAGGGGTTTTGTAATGAATCAAAGGTTAGGAGGAAACAATAACATTAAAACACAAGTATAAGAGGTTAAGATCTACTTCACTAGATGGAAAAGAAATCCGAAAAAGTAGAGACAATAATAACAAATGATAAGTTTTAAAAATTGGAAGTGTAGGTAACCAATTAACGAGTATGAAAAATTAGAAGTCTTACGATCTTCATCAAAATGACATATAACGCATGCTGCCTATGCAAAAAGAGTTTAAGCTTGAAATACTTAATTGTTAAGACCTATACAATGAACAAATTATTTATTTGTGCTTCCAATCAGCATGGTCATTCGACCGAGCAAATGATTTCGAAAGGCGTTTCTGGTCTCTGGCTATGTGATGTGACCGTAATTGACAAGATGTTCCAATACCGAGATACTCATTGTTTCCCATCCTCTTTTTGAAATCCATATCACTAAAAGATAGGTTTACAAACATTTCGCTTTGTTTCAGCTATAAAATCTGCTTAACAAAAGACAGTAAACCTATAGAAACACATTAATGTCAAATTTACGTCTACCACATCTATGGGTCACAGGTCCTCTAGAGAAGATAATATGAAACTTAGTGGGACAAAACACTCTGCTTATTGATTTCGAGAATCAACCGAAGATTCCTACTGCAGCATCTTTCAATCTGATATTCATAGAAATTCCTTCAAATCCGCAGGTGATCTTTCAAGTTTTTATCGATGAGACCAAAAGTATAACATTACCGAAATTAAGACTTTTTAGTACGTTGCGTCATCAGTGCACTGCAGGATGGAGTGAATGAAGTCTCTATTTGAGAATATGAAACCTAAAGTCTCTACAATGAACAAGTTCGATTTGTCTTCCTTTTCAATCACACTGTTTAAACAATTTCGAAAGACAGTTGTGGAATATTAGTGTGACTGAAATCAACTAGATGTTCTAGTATTGAGTCATTAACTGTCTTATATTCTTATTTTGAAAGTAATGCAGTAGAGTATTGTTTACTATGCTGTTTCATCACATAGATTAGAATCATGCATTAGTGTGAATCTTCATTATCTCCTTACATATTATCTAAGAAAGTTCACGTCGCCTAATAAATGACTATTGCTCTAAAATATGCTGAAAACTTTTGTTTACCATCGAGAAAAGCAAACAGTCCGTTTATAAGCAGCAATTTTTGAGAAAATCTTCATTATTCTTGCCAGTAAAACTATTTAATGTGATTATTAAATTATTTTAATACACATAATTTTTTTCAGATAGATATAAACAAACTAAATTTTCAAAACATGATGATAAATTTTCCTGTGGTCAAAATAGTATTTTGATAACCATGATTTTGTACGCATGAAAACTAAGATAAGTTTATTGAACAGTCCAATGAACTCTTTAGTTTGAGACTAACATGTTCATTTAATGCTTCAATATAATCTCATATATATTAAGATGAGACTGAATATAAACATTTTACTGATGAGTACACTTGTTTCAGTATACAAGGGAAATACAAATCTTGATTTTTTTGAAATGAGGAGATGTACATTTGCTTACCGTTTTTAGAATCCCCCCCTAACCAATGCTCTAACAAATCTAAATCCTTTCAATATTCTCAAAATGTTGG